TCACTGGGAGAGGGAAGGCTGTGTTGAAAGGCTCACTGCTCCCACTTCCTCCGATAACATTCTTGCTGTGTTCTATGAGATGCTGGCTGTCATGGTGACAAGAAAAGGCTGAAGCATGATGATGGGGACTGAGAAATGAGATATGAATAGGAGCTCTACATGCATGAAATACTTTGAAAATTATTTTTCCTTTGAGAAATATGACACATTATCTAGTTCCATTGATCATGCTTCTTAGAAGTCTGCAAGCCAGACAGGCCTCTGCCCTTCCTTATGTTACTTTGATATATCATTAGGAATACAGTTAGCTGAAGCACAGAAGCCACTGAATGAATGACTGCTTTGAACAAACAGGGTCTCCTTCCCTTCCTTCTTTTCTTTTTCCTCCTCCCCACCTCTTCATCTCTTCCTCTCTTTTCCTGCTAGGGATCGAACCCAGGGACTCTAATCTCTAACACTGAGCTACACTTCCAGCTCCCTTTTTTCCTAGCTGCATAAGAACATAGGGGTGCATTGTCTGTCTCAGTGACTCGGGGCTGGTATTTCCTGAGACAGAAGCAACAGCCCCTAAGCATTTTAATCTCACACCACATGCACAGGCCATGAGCAGGAGCGCTTCCGGACTCTCCTGCCTCCTCAGAAGCCTCTTGGAAGAATTCTCCTGCACCTCATTGGGTAGGAATGGGTCATGTGACCAATCCATTTCTCGACCAGACAGAAATAGATTGACTTCCCTAGACTCTACCAAATAGGAAAGGTCCATGGAAAATCCGAATGTCAAGCAATCAGCAAGTTTGCTCACACCAAATCTTCCCGCTCTAAATAGGGTTTCCTGTATGGCTCATGTTTTTCTTCTAAATGGGGCTTGGATTCTCTGTTTAATAATATGTAACATGTGTCAGACTATGTTTACTCAAAGGGCAACTTTTGCCTTTTGGTGGTGCTTGCACTGGGCTTGCTCCTCCTGTCTGCTTTTCCATGATGACTGCTGTTCAGAAAAATCTTGGCTCCTCAATAGTTATCAGTACAGTACACGCTTACAGAGCACTACCATTTGCTGCACGGGGACACAGAGCCATGGAATCAGCCATTCCCAGCCTCAGGGCTGTACAACCAGGAAATGTAGAATGCAAGCACAGGATCACAACAAAGGCCTGTGTTTACAAGGCAGGCTGTAATTACGAGCCCCGCATTAAAGGCTCCTGCCTGGGATGGGGGTGGGGGTAGTCAGGCAGAGACGCCCTAAGTAGGTTCTGTCCTTGAACATACAAAATCAGTGACCCAGGAGAGTGAGTTCAAGGTTTGAAAGTCTATGTGAATCTATACTGCTCTGGCATCTTACTGTCCTTGATGTATTTCCTCTCCACATCACCCATGCAGGTGGTAGTGTCCTCTATAAAGCAAGAGGCCAAGGTTCAAAGTGGCTAAGGTACCCATGGTTTTCTCAACAGCCTGGCAGATGACAGTCACCACAAGTCACATACCCTAAGTGTACATTCTCTTATTCCTCTTCCTCTGCTTTAAGACTCTACCACTGCGAAGGATCATGTGACTCCGTTTTGGCCAATCACAGAAGCCCACCCCTGGCTTTGATTGGCCCAAGATGGTCACATGACTCCAGTCAGCTGCGTAGGAAATTAAGATGGAGGAAGTCCATAAAGGGGAGGTGAGGAGGAAATCCAATCAGCAGCTGCTGAGAACTGGCCATGGTGGAACCCAGGTGGCTACAGGCAGTTCGCCCGCCTTCTTGGTAAGCGCCTCCCTCTGGCGGCAGCCAGGAGGAGACCCAATCAGCGGCTCCCACGAGCCTACCACCATGGGACAGAGGCCTGAACATCCTCTCAAGAGAGGATGACCATATGCAATATAGCAAACATGGGGGATTTCCTTCCATCTTCTGTTTGAAAGCAAACAGAAGATGTTTCACCGTTTTGTTTCATTACAATTAATTGTATTACTCTATTCAACATTCTCTTTCAATGGTTTTCATAATGTTCTGTTTTTTATTTGATTTTGCTGTACTTAATTGACTGGACAACGATTGTGAAGATAACAAGGTATACTATGATACCTATTACTGTTATCCCAGTATCCTGAGTTCTGTACTGTGTTCTGTGCTGTGAAGTTCTGTACCGATTTCACTGCATTGTCTCAATTGGCTATATTCTGTCTTGTTCTGTTGTATTTTTACTATCTTCAAAATAAAAAAAAAAAAAGAGGAGAGTTTCAGAAAACAATGAATTCAGATTCTTGATCTAGAAATCCAGTTATTCCTTTAGTCCTAAGAGCTTCTCCTGCATTCTTTACAACTAAGGAAGTCAATGTTCCTTAAAACCAAAACAAAGCAAAAAAGCCAGCTTTATTAAAATATAATACACCCAATTTAAGGGGTTTAATTCAGTAGTTTTGCCAGGCATGGTGGCACATGCCTGTAATTCCAGCACTCAGGAGGCTGAGGCAGAAGGATGGCCATGAGTTCAATGTCAGCCTGGACTATGTACTACAAAAAACAAAACAAAAGTTTTTAGTGTATTCATAGAGTTGTGTAACAATTATGACATAATCCTAAAAGATTTGTCCTATACCTCCTCACCACTTCCTGTCCCCAGCCTTAGGTAACTATTGTTTACTTTGTCTCTATGGATTTACCTATTTTGGACACATGATTAAAGCAGAATCATACGGTGTGTGATCCTTTGTGGCTGGCTTCTTTCCCTTAGCATGTTTTCAGAGTTCATCCATATTGTATAAATGTCTTTTTGCAGGGATTGGCTGAGGTTGGACTTCTGGGACTTAAATATGCTCAGAAGTTGAAGCTAGGACTGACAAACCTGTTCCTTCTGTAAATCATGCAGGCACTGAATGCCAACCAAAGAATCTGACCTTCCCACTGCAGACTACAGGGACTACTGAACAGGGGAATGATAAATTTAGAGCAAGCTTAGTGAGATTATGCTGACTGGTATTTTGTGTATGTTTTTATCTTTTCTGTGCATGTGTGTTATCATATGCAGTGCATGTACACATTTATTCTAGGGCTGAAGATTACACCCACAATCTCTCAATTACGCTTCATGGAACACTAATGTATCATGAGAGGTATCCCAGGAAAGCATAATACACAGTGTCTTTTAACTAGAAAATGCAGAAGCAGCGATTCACGAGAACCAGGCTGTAGGTGCTGCTGTGTCTTGGTTGATTACTGGCTCCATCACCAAATAAGCCCACCAGGCTTGTTGGTTTTGGGGCAGAGAGGGTGATAGCTGTTGGCATCCTTCATTCTTCATCCTGGGAGGGTTAATCTGAAGGACACATGTCCCATGTCAACCATCACATACAGGAAAGAACATGATGAAATAAACCAGATCCCAGTGTCACGAGGGGGAAAGGTCATATCTTTCTAATAGGATCAGCATCCTGCAGCAGGCAGCATCCTTGGAGCTGATCTAGATACACATCAGAGTGGGGGTTGGGGAAGAGTCAGGATGTACAGGACTGCCTTGGTGCATCAGCAGTGGCTACGAGCACCCTAAACCCCTGGGCAGAGTCGACACATCCTGCCTCATCAGTCCAGTATGACTTGCCTTGCCCCTGTAGTCCTGCCTGTGTGGCCAGTTCCTGTCCTGACTTCCTGTCCACCACAGGCCAAGCCAGCACGACTCCACACTTAGGGGCCCTGCCACAGCCTCCTTCAGCCACTCTCTGCCCCAGGAAACTGCATTTTGTAGGGCATTGAGTGTACATGAAGCTGTCTGGTGAGTGAGCTCGCCAGAGAAGAGGAATCAGCAAAATGCAGGGAATGTCATGGTGCTTGAGCAGCTGCCCTTGGGTTCCGGGATACAAAGCGTGGAGCTATTTCTCTAAGAGAGTTGGGGGGATCTGAGCACAAGCATAGGTGCACAGGACCTGGGAACAACAGGAGCCTGGTATCCAGCTTTCTTCTAACTCCAACCTGAATCCCAGCTCTGCTGTGATACATCAGACCTGAGCTTTGAGGTTAGAGGACACAGTGCTTATAGCTGAGCTTCGGTGCCTTTGTGCAGGGTGTCATAGTGGGCAGTCAATGGAGACCTCCCCCTCAGTCAGGTCCCTCGGAGCAAAATGGGACCACACACAGACCCCACTTTAGCAATAGCCCATTTTCTCAGGATGGTTAGGAGAAGCCGCGCCCACCAGCTAAATGAGTCTGGGCAGGAGTGAGTTTCTGCTGGGGTCACAAGTTCCAATTAAAAGATAGGAAGCTGCTTGGCCCAGGTTACCCTGTGGGAATGTAAGTCCCATAATGCCAGATTTTCCCATTTTTCTCTTAAGAAAACAGAAATTCAGATTTTTATGTGAAATTTTCTGATCTTTAAACATGAGTCACTCTCTATATTCACATTCAGATCCATCTTCTGCCTGGCCTCCCTATTCTCTTACTACAACTTCCAGCTGGATTTGGAAACTGAGCAAAGTAGGTGGAGACTGCTAAGTGGGAGGTTAGGATACTCATGCCTCTCTCTAAGCTGTGCTTCTCCTGCCCCTTTCTCAGTGGTTGTGATTTTGACCCTGGCAGTATCCTCGGTGTATGACTACAGGTCCCATGAGTGACAATTCCCATGGTCTGGACCCTCCCTCCCCATCTGCAGGCCTGGGGATGGCAAGGCTCTCTGAACTATTTATTGGTTTCTTCATCCAGGTCTTGTGGATGTCTTGGTGAACAGCCCTTTCCTTCTGAGCGTTCCTCATTCACCCTTTTGGATGTGCCCTCTCCATCTTGCTGTGAGCCACCATGAGCAACAAAGTCAATCACCAAACAACCTGGTGAGGTCACACCTGGACCTGCAGCCCATACCCTGCCAGTCTGCAGGAATCCAGCATGTGTCTGCTGATCTGTACTCAGGTCCCAGTCTCAGGCCAGCAAACTGCAGCTGGACACAGGCCATACTGCTGGGAGAGGCAGGACCCAGAAATGCCCACATGGAAACCCAAAGAGAAATCCCAAAGGAAAACACCTAGACTCACGTCCTAATCCATTTAATGACCAATGCAACCATACAAATGCCACGCTATGGGGAGCATACGGTACACGAGGCACAGAGGCCTTAGGGGGGGCACTATAACACTGTCAAGGGAAATGAGATCACCTAGAGTTGATGAGGAAGGGCGGCCCACTGGCAGATCAGATCTAGAACATGTTTGTCAGGGAATCTGCATCCTGTCCCCAAAATGGACATGAGCATGCCAGCTGCCTTCACTCCCGAACATAAATCCTTGTGCAGACCACGTCATCAGCGCCAAATGTCTATTCAGGAAAAAAGGAAAACTGATTAGTATGATGCCGGTGCAAAATGCTTAAAGCATGTCATGAAAAAGGCCTCTCACTACCCTGCTAAAACGCTCTGTGACAGACATCCAGTTTCCTGTGCTGAGTGCTCACAACAAGCACTAAGGGTTTAGGGTTTTCCCTTAAGCTATCTCCTGGCAGAGTGGCCACCAGGGTTCAGAGTTTTTATACTGTATACAAGTTGTCCTTCACTTCTGGAGCCTGAACACTGACATAAGTAATGGAAGTTTCTTACTTTAGTTTTGAAATTAAAAGAGGAAGGACATCATGTTGGACATTTCTAAAGGGATTCAGTGTCCTTTCAAACTACTTCAAGACATCCTGGCACTTGGGCAACTAATGCCGTGGGGACAGTGCTGACCAGCCAGATGGCACTGCTGTGGAAATGGAACACAGTGGGCTTTCAGGAGCAGCCACCAGCCTGGGAGACAGAGAGCCCCTATATCCAGGGGTTTTACATCCTCAAATCCAGTCAACCACAGATTGCAAATACTTTCTAAAACTTAACTGTACTAAACATGGGCATACTTTTTTTGTCATTATCCCTTAATCAATGCAGTATAGCAACAATTCTCACTGAGCATTAATACTGTACTAGGAATCATAAGGAATCTAGAAATGGTTTAAAATACATGGGAGGAGGTTATGTGAAAATTTCACACCATTTTACAAAAGAGACTTGATCCCAATATTTGATGTCTGTAGATTTTGGTACCAATTTCCCAGGGATTCGTGAAAGGGTGACTAATTCTCAGGTCACCTTTAGGCTAGGAAACTGGTCTAAGATGTAAAAGCATGGTACTGATCATGGGGGTCTGCAACCCCCAGCCAGGCAAGCATGGGAATCCGCCTTCTCTCTGGGTTCAGGGGAAGGGATGGGAGGTCAGTGGTGGTATTGAGGCAGAGGCAGACTTGAACAAGGTGATCCTGAAGGTTCTTTCCAGCTAAAATTCTATGGCTCTTTGTTTGTTTGCGGTAAGGAGGGCATCAATCATTGCACAGACAGAGGGGAACATTTTTCTTCTGGCCTCTAAAATGATAGAGTCCATAAGGAAGCAGTCTTGACTTTTCCAAAAACTAGCAATTACTCACAGGCCTGCTCTCTGGGGCTTCTCACACGCATTGAGCACGGAGAAAGCAATGTGTGCATTCAAAAAACAAAAACAAAAGCAAAACTTTCCCAGTTTGTAGACCTATTATGGGTGTATTTATCGGCAGATGTTCATTAACCTACTGAAGAGTCATTATCCTCGAGATTCAAAAGTGGCTTGAGATCCAAAGGATTAAAACCACTGAACTAAGAGGTTAGTTACCTTAGAAAGCTTCAAGTTATTCTTTTTTTTTTTTTAAACACTGCTAGGAATGGAACCCAAGGCCTTGTACAAGCTAGGCAAAGCATGCTACTGTTGAGCTGCACCCCAAACTCATTTATCTCTTCTGAATTAACACATCATCATCGTATATATATTTATAGGAGAATGTTCAGATTCTCATCTCTGGAGCCCTGAGATACTTTCAGAGGATGTGTGCTACTGCTTTTTCCTGACACTCATGCTTCAGAGAAACACATCTGGTCTTCAGTGATTAACAAGGAAGCAAATGATCACACTAGAGATCTGATCAGAAGAGCAGTTTTATCCATGGCTGGACACCTGCCTCTTTCCTGTAAGCCAGGAATTTGGAGGATTCTGGGTACTGGAGAGGTGGGGGATGGAGTTTGCCATGTACATCTACTTCTCCTATGTTTTTAGCTCTTAGAAACATGTTGGTTTTTTTGGAACTCTTCGTGCTCTATGGTCCTTGAGTACCTGAATACCAAAGTTTAGGTGTCTGACTTTTACTCACGTCCTAACTAGTCCAGCTATCTGACAGCTCACTTAAACTAACAGATGGCTTCATAATGCCCATTTGTATGCCCAGAATAATGGTGCACACCTGTAATCTCAGCACTTGGGAGGCTGAGGCAGGAGAATTGCTGCAAACTGGAGGCCAGCTTGGGGTACATAGTGAGTTCAAAGCCAGCCTGAACTACATAGTGAGGCCCTATCTCAAAAAATGAAAACAAAACAGAAATCCCATTTGTAACCACAACTGAAGTGGCCTTCTAGATCTGCAAACAATGCTATAGGTTTCCAAAAGAAATTCTCCACAGAATATTCCAGAACCATGCTGAGTCTACTCAGTTTTCAAAGAAAGACAACTTTGCAGTTCAGGGGCAATTTACTGTTGGCCCTGGGAGAGCAGATTTCAACTTAACTAGCATAATTTGCCTCTTGTTATGTGGAGATTACATCTCCTGACATTCTGGATTTATTAATGATAATAACCCTTGAAAGAAAGCCCACATTTCAGATTCCAAATGCCAAGAATTAACGCTCCCTCTGAGGCTTGTATATCTGTTTGCTGAGCCAGGGAATGATGCTGGGGTGGGGAGGTGGGTGGTGGTAGTGGTGGCTATCATAGGTGGGGAGAGAAATTTGGACTGTAGAGTCGTTCATAAAGAATTTGACCTGGACTTTGGCTGTCAAGCGCTATAGAGGTTAACAAAATCATACTTTCTGCAAACAGACCATTCCTGCTTAACTTTGGCTATATGAAAAAACTAAAATCATCCCCTCTTTGCTCTCTCTGGTCCCAGTAAACTATATGTGCCTTTTCTCCTAGATTTGCAAGTGTTAGCCTCCCATATTGCTCCCCATCAAGTATGCATGCCCTGCAAACAGTATTAGCCAGGTTGCAAATTAAGCCAGTCCTTTCTTGAGGAAGAAGCAAAGCATGTTAAATCATTCTAGAAAAGTACAAGAGACAGAGCAGGGGTGGGGGTAGGGTGGTGGATTAAGAAGCCTCAGTTAAACAGGCAGCTCAATGTGAGGTCTGCTTGCAGAATAAACATGTCATTTTGAGGCTGAAGGGGATCTCAGGGGCCAGGCTTCAGTCCAATTCCTTATCTTACAGCAAGAAGATGGAGCTTAGGACAGGAGGGGCTGTTCCCCGGGTGATACCAGAGATCCTTCCCCAGAGACCCTTGTCCGCCTTACCATCTCCTGTTCCCAATACTTTGGGGTGGCATTCACTAAGATGGAGCAGGTATCTTAGGAGATGGTAACAAAATGCCCAATGGAGAACAAAAGATAGAAATTCTAAGGTACCACAATGACTTTACCCAGGGGTAGGATGTGGTTCTAGGCAAGTTGGGTCAATTCTGAAACAGAGAGGGAGATGAAGCGTGTGATTAACCTATGGAGGTCCTATCTTGGTCTCAGGGGCAGGTTTTGTTTGGCCCAGGGTATCTGAAATGTTTCTGTCTGCATACTTTAAACTTGCAGCCCATGGCTCATGTTGTGTTTTAAACACTTCCCAAATTACCAGTACTCACTTGGTTCTCAAAGGCCACTGGGATTTGTAAATCTGAGGATTAAAATGTTCTCTAGGGTTCTGAATACTGATGTGATAAAAATTTCTGAAACTTTTCCCAGCCAGCAAAATGGGTAATGAGAAAACAATGAGACAAAACAAAAACAAATCTTATTCCCCTCCCCCCAAAAACCCCACCTTCTGCAGCATAAGCTCGGGGCACCTCATGGAGCCCAGATGCCCAAGCATTCTGGCTTGGAGCCTGTCACCCCCATGGCTGCAGAGACAGAGCAGCTTGGTCAGTACATGCAGCAGCCCCTCCCTAGCCCAATGCCACTCATCTCCCCCACCAGCCATCTGACAATGATTTCCTCTGACCTACACTGTCATCTCAGGCACTCTGTTCTAACTTAACCCCGGGGCAAATGTCTTTCTCCAAAGGGATACATGAGGGTGACATATTTGTGTGGCTCCAGGGTCACTGGGGGAACCTCCAGGCTGCCCTGGAGTTAAGGGGCCCTCACCAGGATGAGCTCGTCGTTGGCCAGCTCACGGGTCCAGTAGGTTTTGGGGCCGTTGCCCTCGAGGAGAGTCTGCGTGCAGTGAATCTTGTTCTCATTCTCCCAAGTAGCTAAACTCTGTGGGCAGAAAAGCCATTAGTGACATTAATTACAGACTCAGCAGTGGAAGCAAGACAACAATGAGCACCGGACAGTAATTGCCATTTGCCATGCAGAGAAGCAACACATGGTCCTTGTCAGCAGGCATGGAATCTTCTCTACAGAGCCAGATTAAGTCAAAATCCAGAGTGCTGGTTGTGGATTTTATGGGGTGCACATGCATGTTACATGGCACACATGCACTCTTGCACATACATGTGCACACACACAAGCCATGGAAGCAGCAAAGCCTTACGCTTGCTTTATGTTTCTAAGGAATAAAATTCAGAGCACACAATGATTCAGTGATGTCAGAGAAGATTAACTCTTCAAGAAATCTGGATTTTGGGCTGGGGATATAGCTCAGTGGCATAAGCACCTGCCTGGCAAGTGCAAGGTCATGAGTTCAATCCCCAGTACCCCCCCCAATAAAGAATTAAAGAAATCTAGGTTTTAATGACAAGAACCTTCACATCAAAACTGCAGGGTTTTATATCAACTAAATACCACTTTGTAGTCACACAGGTAGCCAGCAAGTCAAGAGTGTGATCCTGTAGGGAGGGCTAACACCTTCCTTTCTATTTGCACTCCCCACTGGATCTGGCACACACCCTGCTCAACAAAGGATAAAAGCGCTTCCACTTTTCAGGTTACATCCTTCTAGCAAAAAATTTAAAACTCAAACTTATTTGAAAGGTCGTCATGTTGCTGGAGGATGGAGTGGAAGGAGAGACTGCCTGCAATTTCCCCAGGGTCTGTACAGAGCCAAGTGGGGAACAGCTGGGCTAAGCAGTCCCGAATGTGCAAATAATCACACCCTAACTAGCACATGGGACACTCATTAAGCAGGGGTGGGGAGAAGGGCAGGGGATAACTAAAGCCCATTCTCCAGACTGCAGGATCTTTGTTTTGGCTTTTGTTCATTTTTAAATCTGAATTATTCTCCCTGGCAGGAGTCTCATTGGGTGTCCCCAAGTGGAGCCCAGCCTATTTCCAAACCTCTCCTTTAGACTCCTGCCCTTCGTTCTAACAATCCTGTCCTGCTCTCTGCTTTTGCAAACACTGTTGTGACTTGGATCTCAGATTTGCCAGCTTAGGCCTGGACATTATTTTGAGGCCATACTGATTCTGGGGGCCAGAGATGCCTGCCACTTGTCTGGCGCCAGGCACTCTCAGATCAGTCAAGGGACAGCTCAGTAAAGAGGAAAGAAACGATTTCTGTGGAATGCTATTACTTTTTTCTTCGTTCATTTTTAAAACATTAGAGAAAGGCGGGGAAACATTCTGTCACTCACTTAAGTGGTGGCAGCAGCGATTACTTTTCCATCTGCCTAACCAAAGGCAATTTTTGCCCATAAAAAAGGAATCCACAATCCCTTGCTTCAGTTGGGGCTGATGTTCAGAGAAATAAAAATCTCTGGCCCTTGAGGACTTAAGAGAAGGCACTCTGTTCATCCTCCCAGCCAGGACCTGGGCTGCTTTGAAAAATTCTGTCTTTCCTTTAAGGACCTGGTCAAAGGAGGTAGGGAATGTTTTCTGGGCCACTGGGATTGCTGAAACGGGATCCAGGGGTTCCCCAGGGACACTGGGACCCAAGAGGCAGGATGATGTAGCCTCTGCTCACCTGCTACTGGTAACTCGGCAGCAGTGGCCCAGAAGCAGGCAGCCATCCAGTCTACTGCTCCATGCAACCCGCGTGTCAAGGACAAACTTACTGCTGCAAGAGCCACAGCTGGGCGCTGGGCCACTCAGCCGCTCTCTGCAAGGGCCTGTCCACACCTTGGGGGAGGGCTCGGGTAGTAATCAGGAGGTCAGCCGAGTTGCCCTAACTGCAAAAATCAGCAACCTAAGAGTACCCCTGGCTACTCAGAGAGACAGGGCTGGGGACAGCGGGACCCTGCTACGGCCTCACCTTGCACTTGCGGCCATCCACTGTCTCCTCCTCGAAGCCTTCACCGACCTTGAAGCTGATCTCCGTGGTGCGCACCGTGGTGGACGTCTTGATGTAAAACTGGTCGCCGTCCTGGCGGATCTCCACGTGCGGCTTCGAGGCAGCGGCCACCGCCACTTTCCTCAGCATGGCGTTCACACCTGTGTAGGGCCGTGTGGTGACCGAGGTGGTAGGGCCTGGTCTCTAAGGGAACCCCCCGTCTAGATCCATGCCGTCCCCCACACCGCTATCTCCTTTTGCCGGATCCAGCCTAGCAGGCAGCGCCGTCGGGGTTTGGGGGCGCCGACCGGAGGCTCAGAGACGCTGCAAAGCTCCCCTCGGGTCCTGCCCCACGGCTCCCCGCGCCCCCGCTCTGTGCAGTCCCCCGCGTCGGCGGCCACGCAACCACTCACCCAGCGCCTTGAGCAGCTCGTCGAAGTTCTCGCTGCTGCGCATCTTCCAGGTGCCAGCGAAGTTGGGCATGGTGGCGGCGGCGAGAGCGACAACAGCGGACGGCGGCGACGAGGCAACGAGGCTGCACGCGGGCTGCGCGGCTGAGACTGCGGGGTGCGCCCGCCGCGCTCTGGAGTCCCGGGAGCGCCCCCCGCCGCGCCGAAGCCCCGCCCATGGCCCCGCCCACAGCGCTCTGGGAGCGAGCCCATCTCGCAGCTCGCCCCGCCCCGGCCCCGCCTCCCATCTCTTGCCAACCCGGCCCCATCCCCGCCCCTTCGGCCTCGCCCCAATTCGATTTTACCCCCTCCTAGCTCAACCGGCACTGGGCAGGCCGGGAGCAAGCTTTCCAACTGGGAGGGTACCTCTGCCACCTTGGCTACCATATCCTGGTTTAACGTGGGTGTGGGAGAGAGTTCCATTCAGACCCTGGCCCAGAAAGTCTGCTTGTTGAGCTGGGAAGTGGGGCTCTAGGAGCCATGACATCATTCTAATATTTACATATGTTTGAAATATCCATTCTAAAAGTGGGCGATCAGGGGATAGGAACCTCTGTGTCTGCCACCCCACCCCGTTGTGCCTTCTGAATGTCACCACCTGATTGGGACACTCTTTCCCCCAGCACTCCTATACACATAGACACCTGCAGGACCCAAGGGGGGAGAGTGGCTGAAGATCCCACCCCTACCGCACCCAGCAGAGGACCCAGCTGAGCAAGACTGTAGGTCCAGAGTGCAAGGTGGTACTGGAGTCCTTGTGAGCTCACTGTTCTCACCAGCGGATGTTCCGAGGTGGGCAGGACAGCCAGGAGGGGGCAGGCTTCTCAGAAACCCCAGGCTTCATCCTGTGACACAGGGACCTGGAAGGCAGGCTACCCTCACCTGCCTGGCTATCAGGGAAACCCCAGAGCCAAGAAGGCTTCAAGAGCAGCACTGTCATGATATTTCTGTGAACTCAGCCTTAGGATTCAGAACAAGAATTCCTCTGAGTACTGGAGACCCAGCTTCTGGTGGAATCACCAGAAGTCCCATGTTGTCTTTTCCCTTCTTGTTTCCTACCTTCCTGCTCAGTAAGCCTTATCTACTGTCTCCCTAACCAGGAGAGGTGAGCAGTCGAAACCCAGGTTCTTTCCTGAGTGCTTACTTTAATTAGGGGGTCTCCTGGAAATTGTGCCCACCATGTGGGTTAACAGTGCTGAGCCCAGCCTGGGTGGAGCCCTAAAAGAGCATGTGGAGGAGCTGCAGGGCTGCGAGGTGCTGCATGTCACCAGGAGTTACAACACAGAGCTGCCTATTTGGGGACCTCATGTGTTCCAGCATTGCCAAGACTTCACAGCCTGCAGGGGGTGAGCTAGGAGGCAAGAGTTAGGAATTGAGCAGAAGTTAGATGATTGGGGACCGGGCCCACAAGTGCAGGGATACCAGGTGGCCACATCGAAGAGATGTGAACAGAGGTAATTCATGGCCTAATTGCAGTCTTTGGCAAGTTGCCTCGTAGCCTTGGGGAGAGTGGATTGGGTGGACACACTTTCAGGACTCAAGGAGGAAATTGTTGCCCGGAAAGGCAAGCAGCCGTGGCAAGAAGTGGAGTATTAGAGAACCACAGCACCCTGAGGGCAGTCTGTGGTTTGAGCCACGCATCGAAGCTGCCAGGAACTTCTTTGAAATTCAGATTCCTGGGCCTCACCTACAGAGTCTCCTCCACTGGCCACTGTTGGTCAGTACGTAGCCAATTCCTGGCATTTCCTCTTGTGTCTCAAGTCTTTGGGGGCAGGTGCTCAGGCCTGACCTTCTCTCCAAAACCTTTTGTTCTCCAGCTGGTACCCCACATCATCAGCTCCTCTGGGCCACTGACCCACATTCCTACCCAGGACATTTCTGCTGAGCTCTGCTGCTTTTGCTTGGAGGCATGCCAGGGTCCAAGGCCCCTAAGGGGCCACTAGCTGGGCCCCATCCCCTCAGGCGGGCCCAATTCATGCTGGAAGAATGGGGGTCAGAGTTCAGTACCCGAAAGCTGGGGCTCTGAAGAGGGTCCCAGTGGGGGACTTCACAGCAGCTCAGTGGAATGGGGGCTGGGGTCACCATGCCCTGCGCAGGACATTCTGGGAGTCAGCAAAACAGTACAAAGAACTGGATTCCTGGGGAGGAAAGGCATCAGGCTGTGCTCACCCTGTTTAGGGGGTTTCTTCTAGGTTAATGGGGTGGAAGGAGCACTGGACAAGGAGTCAGAGGGCTGAAGGAATGTGGAAAATATTAGTAGAATATGCACAATTAGCTAACATTTATTGAATGTTTACTGAGCGCCAGGCATTGTAGCACATGCTTCACAAGGATGCATTCATTCTTTATTAGGGGCACCCATTTACAGATGGGAAACTGAGGCTCAAGTAGGGTCCAGGATCACTCCACCAATGAGATATAGGACTGGGAGGTGAGCCTGGGTGGGCTGGCCCCAGAATCATTCTCTGACTTCCCTGCTGTGTGGTTATAGTACAGAAGGGGGCTTGGAAACCCAGAGAGGGAATTGGGGTCCCTATCACATGGTAGAGCAGTAGAGAGCCTTTGTTCTTTATCTGCCAATCCCAGGGATCTTGGGCTCAGGAAACATTTCTGAGGTCTAGTGTACCAAGCTGCCTCAATGCTAAAGAGGATGGTACTGCCTAAATCCAGGATCAGGAGAAAGAGGTGCAGCAGATTTGTTTCTCCATCCAGCTAGGTTTTGGTCCTGGGTTGCCATTGTCACTGCCATGGCAAGCTTCGGCTTCTTCCTGTAAAGCAGAAATAAAAATAACAACCACACCTACTGTGAAAGGTGTAATAAATTAATAAATGTGAAAACAAAGGACCATATGGTGTCTATCTGGAATTTATGCTCACTCCTAGCACACACTGGAACTAGCACACACTATCCACTAGCACACACTGGAACTCTGGCTTCTCCTTTGAGTTGTTTCAGTCACTCTCCACCCATTTTTTTTTACTGTGTTCTGCCCTGAAATCCTCAATCCTATTCTGTTTGTATTAGCCATTTTATAGATTTAGAAATGGGAGTTGAAGGTGAATTGATCTTTCAAGACCACAGAGAAGAAATAGGCAGAGCCAGAATTCAAATCCATGGCTGTCACAATCCAGGCTCTGAGTCTCTAAGAGCTGATAGATGAGTCTGGTTCCAACTTCCACAATGCCACCAGATATAGGAAAATGGGAAGTCAAAGCAGTAAGCGAGCCCTAGTGACCACCCTGTTGGTGTTGCAATAATAGAGGAATGGATCCAAGATGGTTGGAAAGGGAGGAATGACTGTGACGGGCAGGGCAGAAGAAAGAGAAGGGGTGGCCTTTAGTCAAAGCTCAAAGGCTTAGGAGTTTGATGGGTGAATGTTTCAGAGGGTGCAGCAAAATCACAGACCTTAGAACCTGAAATGCAGGGGCAAGCAGGGGAGTCTGACCCTGGGGTGCAGGACAGGGAGCAACCCATAAGGGCAGCAAAAAGGCCCCAAGGAGGTAATGCTACCAGTGAGAGGGTGCTGCCACCCATCATAGGAAGTCCCTGCTGAGGCTGGGAGGATGAGCTCCCCTAGGTTCAGACATGCCACGCAGAGGCATTGCCTGAGGTCCACCAAGTGTTTCTCTAGAATGGTACACATTCTCCACATGGGAAAACAGGGTTCATGGGCTGCGGGTGAAGCAGGGGACTTGCCTAGCATACATAAGTCCCTAGCTTTGATCCCCAGCACTGCTTTTTTTAAAGAGGGTAAAATTAAACACAACAAAACAGATCATAAAAGAACAATGTAAGAGACACAGTTTTCAAAGCAAGACAACTGGAGATCTTCACTGTCTATCATATTGTCTCTTGTTTTCCTCCAAATAGTTTTCCATATTTTCACATACAGTGAATGCATACAAAACAAAATAGTATGAAACTGATCAGAACAGGACCCAGCACTGTTTGATGTCAATCCTGATATTTCTGGCTTCTCTTGAAAGTTCAAATAATCTGGTAACTTGGTGTTGATCTCCTGGATGACAGTCTGTTATGGGGTTGGCTGTGTCACCCCCAAATTCATGTATTGTGTCCTAACCCCCAATATTTCATAATACAACCTTAGCTGGAGATTAGGGCCTTTAGAGAGGTATTTAACTTAAAATAAAGTCATCCAGTTAGGAGCTAATCCAGTATAACTAGTGTCCTTTAACAAATGTAAATGGACATGGACACAGAGAAGAAGATGTAAAAGGCACAAGTTCAGGAGAGAGGCCTGAAGCAGGTCTTTCCATCCCAGTCCTTTGAAAGAACCCATCCCACACACATATTGACTTCAGACTTGTAGCTTCCCAAACTCATACACAGTAATTTTCCGTTGCTCAGGGCACCTGGATTATAGCTATTTACTTTCAGTCCTGGTAAATCAGCACCTGATCCTTGGAAAGCAAAAGTGGATGCCAGTTCTTGTGAGGGTAGAGAGCTGTGTCACCCCAGGTGCCTGCCCAGCTGTAAAGCTGGGTACTGAAAACTCCACCAGAACAATCAGAACCACTTGAGCTTCAAAGGAAATAGAAGACCCTGAGATGGCCTGGCTGGTAGATTTGCATCTTGGTGAGGTTTGAGGATTAGAGAGCCAACGCAGTGCATGGAAGGAAAGGTGAAAGCTCTTTGAATGGTCTGAGCCAGAAGGGATTTTCTGTGTGGCTGGGCTTGTGACATGAGGACAAGCAGTGTCAGATCACTTGGGCTCTTACAAGAAACACACAACTCTAGAACCAACCTGACCCAGAGAACTGGAGTCTGCATTTCAGTGAGTTCCCCAGGAAACAGGTGTCACATTCAAGTTGGAGAAGCTCTGGGTCTCTTAAATGTGGCTGTACTTTGGGTGTCCACTGGAACTGCCAGGTTGCGATTAACACCAGGGTGACTCACGCAGAGATGATGGGTAACTATTCTAGAGTGAGGCTGGACAGCAGTTTTGGCAAAGTTTCCCAAGTGATATAAGGCACAGCCGCATTTGGGGGCCACTTCTATGCTGTAGATTAAAATAAAGTCATCCAGGTAGGATGACTCTATTTCCCATTAGAAAACTTGTTTAGCAAAGGACAAAACCAGAGTTTCTGGGCCCAGTAGAAGCTCACTTTCCACCTCCAATGGCTCAGACTGTCCC